CATGCAAAAAGGAAAGATAAAATTAAGAGATAAGCAAAACTAGGAAGTAAAAATATAATGATAAAATAATATAAAGTGGCAATAATTAAAGAAATAGCTACTAAACACAAGACAGTGTAGGTAATGATCAGAGCTGAGCGATTCAGGTACAAACACAACACCGGGTCATGTGTCTGAAACACTAGGACTGTCATGAGTCCAGCTTCAGAGGGGAAGAAACTGTTGTTGTGGTGAGAGGTTCTGGTCCGAATGGCAGGGTATTAACAGAGCAAACCCACCAAGGCTGGAGAAGGAAAAAGACTGGAAGGGCATTTAGGAGAAGGTTGCATCACACAACAGCAATGCTAAGTGGCTAGCCTCTCCAGGAGAAGACCACACTAACCTCCCTGAGCACAACCTAGTTTCCATCACTGTGGCAGACATCCAAGAAAGTCTCAGGTATGAAAAACTGGACAGCACCAACTCCTGACATGATCCATGCCTACTGGCTTACGACGATTACTGCACTCCATGACCACTTGGCAGCACAAATTAACCACGGGATTGGGAGATGTGGGGACATTTTAATCTAAGGCACTTTGAGCTGCATCATCTGTAAGTAAAGTGCCTTATAAAAAAGTTTGAGACATGTGTGTGTGTGTGTGTGTGTGTGTGTGTGTGTGTGTGTGTGTGTGTGTGTGTGTGTGTGTGTGTGTGTGCAGACAGACAGACAGACAGACAGACAGATAGATATATAGAAGATAGATAGATAGATAGATAGATAGATAGATAGATAGATAGATGATAGATAGATAGATAGATAGATAGATAGATAGATAGATAGATAGATAGATAGATAGATAGATAGATAGATAGATAGATAGATAGATAGATAGATAGATGATAGATAGATAGATAGATAGATAGATAGATAGATAGATAGATAGATAGATAGATAGATAGATAGATAGATAGATAGATCGATGGCACTTGTAAATTTTGATGAGACAAATCTGTAAAAGAGGAGAAAAAACTAAACAGTGCTTCAGAAACATGAGGAGATCAGTAAAAACAGGAAAGGCACCGATATTTGGACATATTTTAACTACAAAGACAATTACAGGGGTGCCCAATCCTGGTCCTGGAGGGCCGGTATCCAACTGGTTTTAGGTTTAACCCTTCTTCAACACACCTGAATTCAATCAGCAGGTGATTAACAGGCTTCTGCAGAGCCTGATGAGCTGCTGCACAGGTGATTCAACCACTGAATCAAGTGTGTTGGAGCAGAGAAACCACTAAAACCTGCTGGATACCGGCCCTCCAGGACCAGGATTGGGCACCCCTGCTCTAATAGTTCAAAGTTCATGAACATTTTACTTGCAGAGCTTGTTTTTGTCCTTTAAACATGTCTGTAGCTACAGTTAAAGCAGTATCACTCAGTTAATATAATATTAATACTAATAAGTAGGGTGGGGCAACGTTTGATTTTGAACGATTCTGATTCCAATTCCCTGTTTCGATTCCGGTTCCTATCGATTCCTGATTCAGATTCTTTGAAGACATGACATGTTTTACATGAACCAGCTAACCACAGGTTCTACTGGATGACATCATCTTAACTTCAACATGAATTTTAACTCTATGAACAACAACATCACCTTCATTTAGACAAAAACATGTTTAGGAGAAAAAAGAAAAAGACTTGCAGCACAACCAGTGTGTTTGTTTCTGACCACAACCAAAGTGTGGAAGCAGCCTCTGGGATGAGAGGCTAAATGTCTCCAACATATCCAGAAACGTCCAGCTGTGTTCAGCTAACACTCTCAGGATGATCATGTCCAGGATGACTGAGAACTACACCTCCATGCTGCTGCAGCGTTCAGTCAGAACAGGAACTTAAACGTAGCTGCTGTCAGTAACAAGCTAACAGGTTTTAAACATTAAAACTCTCAACAGAAATAGTTCAGAAAGGAAATAAAAATGTTATTTATTATTATTATTATTATTTATTGCGGCAGAAGCTGGTGTGGTCCACCACAGAGAAGCTGCTCTAGCATGATGACTTTAATTATTCTACAGGTTATTGTTCAGTCTCTGATGCTCACACACACACACACACACACACACACACACACACACACACACACACACACACACACACACGAGTGTTGGTGAGCGGCTGCGTGTGACTGCTGACGCTCCGTGTGTGTTGTTATTTCTGCAGTGAGACAAACTCGCCTCACACCGTCCAGAGTTTGTTCTTTAAGCTTCTATTAAATCCACCGTGTTGACGTATTTAACACGTTTCCTCTACGCTGCAGGAGTTAACGTTTACATCACGGAGTAACATTTCAGCAGACGTGTTTGTTTAGATTTGGCCGCGGGGTGGGGGCAGGGAGGAGGGACTTGGTGCTGCACACAGACAGCTGGTGTGATCAGCTCTGAAAAGCCTTGATCACAATTTGCAGATCAGGTCTGTTTTTCACGGAGATCGGCCATAAATTCCTCTTCCGTCAGCACACTAGGAATCAAAACTAGGAATCGAAATAAAAAACATTGAGCGATTCCGGGAAAAATGAACAGTTGGAACCGGTTCCAATCGATGCTCGATTCTCAATGCCCAACTCTACTAGTAAGCGTCTGTCAGCTGTCTCATACTCGTTAATATCCGTTCAGCTAACCAGCTTAGAGAGAGGGAGAGAGACGCCGGTCATCCGGTTCTGGAGCTCATGCGGGCTTCTGTGAGCTGGATCTGACCCAGACACCAGCGAACCAGTCCAGCTGGGATTTTTAAAAGCTGTGCATGATCCTCTCCTGGAGGTCTGCAGTGGTTCTGATCTGGTTCTGACTCAGACACCAGCTGGCCCACTGAGCCTTGCGTCTCTTCTGGTGGTCGGTTCTGACCTGGTTCAGACGGTGATCTGAGCTCTAGAAACCTACATATGATTTTTTAACCCTTTGATGCATAATGGTCACTACAGTGGACGGGTACTCAAAATTATTTTTATTTTATTGCTATTCAGCACAGCTGTTGAAGACTTTATTGCATTTGAGCCCCTCCATTTGGACTTCAGTAAGTCTAGCCAACATATTCCATGTTCAGAACACATGCTGTCCACTGAGGTGGACATGTGATAAATTATTTGTAAATGATTAAATGTTAGAAAAAATGTTTGTTGAAATTTGTTCCATTCACACCTAAAGATGAATGAAAAAAAATTGTTTAAAAAATCATGGTTGAAGATTTCATAATTCATGCATCAAAGGGTTAAACAACACCACAGGTCTCCGGAGCCCAGCGCGGACCTCCCTGACCCGGTACCGACCGATGTGGGCTACAGAAGCTGCACAAAACGCCCTCAGGCACGGAGATAGGGGCGTCGTTTCTCGTATCTGGAAACCCGTGGACTCGATGTCCTGACAGGCTGGAGTTGGTACAGCCTTCACTAACTATAGTTTATCAACATAATAATAATAATCGTCGTCGTCGTCTTCCTCCGCTTATCCGGGTCCGGGTCGCGGGGGCAGCATCCCAACTAGGGAGCTCCAGGCCGTCCTCTCCCCGGCCTTGTCCACCAGCTCCTCCGGCAGGACCCCAAGGCGTTCCCGGACCAGATTGGAGATGTAACTTCTCCAACGTGTCCTGGGTCGACCCGGGGGCCTTCTGCCGGCAGGACATGCCCGAAACACCTCCCCGGGGAGGCGTCCAGGAGGCATCCTGACCAGATGCCCAAACCACCTCAACTGGCTCCTTTCGATCCGGAGGAGCAGCGGTTCTACTCCGAGTCCCTCCCGAATGTCCGAGCTCCTCACCCTATCTCTAAGGCTGAGCCCGGCCACCCTACTCCTTGAACCGTCACCTTATCGTGGTGGAGGAGTTTGAGTGCCCTAATGATCCTAGGAGCTATGTTGTCTGGGGCACTTAGTGCCCCTGGTAGGGTCTCCCATGACAAATTGGTCTTAGGTGAAGGGTGAGACAAAGAACGGTTCGAAGGATCTTTCATGGCGGTGAAAACGAAGAGTCGGAGTACCCGGCCCGGAGGGTTACCGGGGTCCCACCCTGGAGCCAGGCCTGGGGTTGGGGCCCGTGAGCGAGCGCCTGGTGGCCGGGCTTTCGCCCATGGGGCCCGGCCGGGCCCAGCCCGAACCGGATACATGGGCTCGTCCAACTGTGGACCCACCACCCGCAGGAGGAACATGAAGGGTCCGGTGCAATGTGAATCGGGTGGCAGACCAAGGCGGGAGCCTTGGCGGTCCAATCCCCGGACAAGAAAACTAGTTTTTGGGACATAATAATAATAATAATAATAATAATAATAATAATAATAATGCATTTTATTTAAAAGCGCCTTTCAAGTGACACAAGGACACTTTACAGCAATAAAATAACAACAAACCAAGTTAAAAACAGCAAAAATCACACAGAAGCCTAAAAATACAAACTAGATAATAAAATCAGTGAAGATAGAAAAGGTGACAGTCTACAGGCTGAACCAGGTGGTTTTGAGTCCAGATTTAAAGAACATGAACACAACCCAACACTAGTAAATAATATATATATTATATGTAAATATCAAGATGTCACAACATGCCCCCCCCACCCCCCCACCCCCACCCCCACCCCACCCCCCGTTAAATAGACACAAATCTGAAGCACATGGGGACATTATCCAGAGTGGTTCAAAACTGTCCTGTGTGATAAACTCCCACGTCTGCCTGTTTGGCAGCAGCTGCTCAAAAGTGTTCACAAACGCCGTTCTGGTTTTATTATTATTCTGGTTAGATTTATATACGTGGCTACTAGACACCATGGATTGGGAGCACTTGCCTACTCAGATTTTTGGACACTATTTGACAGTAATGGCCTTTTTGTGTGTCTGGAAAATGTTTTGAGTTCTGCTCGTGAAAAATGGGAGCAAAACCAACAGTGTTGTTTCATTTTTTTAGTGTATATAAATAATTTAGTCATAATTATATACAACTAGTCAGTCAAATCTACAACAGCTGACTAGTGACCTCACCTCATCTCTGAACTGTTTCGCTTGTTCCTCGCAGCCGGGCAGGGACTCGATAAAATCTGAAACCTGTTGAGACAGTTGGATCCATTACATCAGAGTCCTGGATTGGTACACCACATCACAACACTCAAAGGTGAAGTCTTAATCATCACCATGGTAACCTGTGCTTCTGATCCACACTAGCTAAACATTTGTAATAGTTCTTTCATGTTAGGTTTGTCTCATCATAGTTTAATTCTACCGTCTGCTGTTTGATGTAAAATGTACTTTATTAATTTCTTTATTCTATGTATTGTAGTCCGTATGAATGTTGCATGTACACCCTAATCTGGTCTGCTGTCTTGCCCAGTGTCGATGCATCCTATCTGTTTATTTGATGATGCAATGACCATAAGAAGAATAGTGGGTAGCTAATGGGAATTAAAAGAAAGAAAACAAAAACCACCTGCTGGACACTCCAGTGCTGGACCGCCTCAGCGTGGACTCTAATCACACCTGGCAGAAGTTTACGGTGTTGCTCCCAACAAAGAGAAAGATCACGTCCAGGCTGTGGAGACATGGCTGACAGGAACACAGACTGGTGGAGGACAGCCTGCAGACTGGTCTCTGTTGCAGGAGACACAGTGAGACAGTTTAGAAGAAGCGTAAACACTGTAGACTGAATCAGAGCAACAGATCTTTAAGTTCCAACTAAAACCTGGATCTTGTGTTAAAACAGAAACTTGGTCAGAAGCACCAGTGAGACCAGTGCTGAGTAAGTCAAACAAACCCATTCACTACTAAGCAGAAAGACTACTGTAATGTGTCATTGATCATCACTGCCAAACCTGCAGGAACCATAGTCAGCAGTTTCCATGGAAATTGTCACTTCATTGGGTGTCCGTTTCCATGGAAACAGAGAGCAAAGAGTGGGGTGTGAATATTTCCAGGAGTCAGGCCCATGTTTGTGCTTATTACCAGTTATAATCTAACAAGCTTTATCTACGTAACTCCACATTCATGTTGTCATGATAAAACTCATAAAACTTAAACCATGGTACTGCTTTTCTTTAGCCTGGCCTGTCACACTCGTTCTCTGTCTACACAGGATACTCACAGGCACATGAGGGGCGGGACTAGCCAGCTCAAAAATAACCAATCATAAAAGGGGTGGAAATGCCGACTGTACTGCGCAATGCTGTAGTTTTTTTTAGCTGTAGTAAAAAACGGGGTCTGGCGATGGTGCAAACATCTTTTAGTAGAATGGCTTTTGGTGCTTCGTGTGTTTTTAAAGGCATATTCAAGTCATTTAGAACAGAGGAAAGAGCTGCAGCGAACTCCGCTTCAAACGCCGTCTGTTGTTTAGGGGAAAATAAGCATTGCGGTGTGAAGTATGCTGCTCAGCGCTGATTGGTTTGGTTACATTTCTCAGGGGGTTATTGAATAGGAGCATTCCCAGACCCAATTCTTCCCAACAGGAAGCATGGGGCTGGCTGGTCAGGCTGGCTTTTCCTATGGAGCCTTATCAGTGTAAATGTAGTTGACGTGGGTGGGGGTGGTGAAGAGTTAATCATCCTCAGCAGGTTCTTCTTCTCCTCAACTCAGTGCGTTTGCATGCACATCGGAAAACCAAAGTATCTCCCTAAAAGTCTCACAGCAGTTTTTTAAACGGCATGCAAACGTTTTAGTTTGGCTGAAGGCGAATCGGTTCCGATCGAGCTGAAGCACCCAGATAAGGCAGTAGTAATCTGATTACATTAGGGCTGGGCGATATGATGATTTTAGACCGTTTTACGATCTACACATCTGACGGTTTGTCATTTTTGAGAGACCTTTTTATCACGATTCACAGCTCTGCTGTTGAATTTCTGCCTCTGAATGAAAAGGGAACTTACCCCAGGCGAATGACACGCCTTTGTTTGACCCTTAACCAATCAGAGTGAGTCATAGTAATATATTAGTGCCCCGCTTGTTTTCACCTGTGTGTGAACAAACATGGCTTCAGCCATGGCTGAGAGCGACAACGAGGTTTTCGTTCCGAAGAGGAACGCCTTTTCTATAGTACCGACCGAGCACCGATTCACGTCATTTGAAACGGTGCCTCGTTTCGGTACCCGTCCTTCATAACGAGAACTTGCCAAGAAAGCTGCGCATATGCAAGAGCGTTATGTCGTCGGTCCCTGCGAGCAAGTTGTAAACAGAGCAGCATGGTAGAAAGAAGAACGCACGCTAACGCTTGGGTCCACTTCACTAATTGCGACGGGTGATTGGGTGAAGATGAAACCAGCGACAACGATCTAAGTGTGAGGCATCATCGTTTTAATCTGCTCCAGCAGTTAAATAAACTGTTTAACATAACGTTAGCTTGATATGTTAGCTTCCATTGCCACCGTTGTTATCAGCTAATGGTGCTCTAATGAGCTTTGAAAGAAAAGCGTCTGGACTTCTTTGAGTTGCTTGAAGACATTTCACCTCTCATCCGAGAGGCTTCTTCAGTTCTAAGGTCAAATGGTGGAGAGTCCCAGATTTAAACCCAGTGGGAGTTTCCCCCGAGCAGGGAACAAACTCCCACTGGGTTTAAATCTGGGACTCTCCACCATTTGACCTTAGAACTGAAGAAGCCTCTCGGATGAGAGGTGAAACGTCTTCAAGCAACTCAAAGAAGTCCAGACGCTTTTCTTTCAAAGCTCATTAGACTACAATGACCTGGATGACTGAGAACTTTCACAGACAGCTAATGGTGCGTTCGCTTTCTCCTCGGAAATTCTAACTTCCCAGTAGGAAAAATCAAAAGAAAAAGGACGGCAAAAGGAATGAAGATAACAGTAAATTTAGTTCACAGTAAAGATGTTTGCTTCAGTTTAATTATCAGCTTATAAAACTACAAGGACGATGTTAAAATACAAACTGTTGAATGCTATTTATCGTGATATTTATCAAATATTGTTATATAATGAGAAAAATATATATTTAATTATAAAAGAGAATTAAAATATGAAACACTCAAAAGTATCAAATTGGTACCGTTAAGTACCGGTATCGATTCGTAGGTTCCGGGAATTAGTACCGGATCGATTCAAATGTCAAAGGTACCCATCCCTATCCATTATATGGAACTGGTTTGGTTTTTCACCAGACGACAAAGAGCAGCGAAACGTCATTTGCAAAGTTTACAAGGAGAGCGTCAAGGCAAGTGATGGCAACACCACAAACTTGTTTAATCATTTGAAAAGAAGCCATCCCAAACAATACAATGAGAGCCAGCTGGCAGCTAAAGCTAAAAATCCTGCAACGGCAGCGGCTAGTGCTTCTTCCAGGCAGCAAACGCAAACAGAAACACACAAAACTCACTCCCTACAACAGAGACAGCAGACGATGGAACAGCGTGACAGATGCAGTGACGTACCACTTGGTTAAAGATTTGTGTCCCGTGCGAACAGTAGGAGCGGGATTTAAGAACATGATAAAAACATTGGATCCGCGCTACGAGTTTTCCAGCCGCAAGTATTTTTCGAACACCGCCATTCCACGAATGTACGCTGAATGCAAAGTGAGAGTTGCAGAAAATATTCAGAATGCGCAGTTATTTGCTACCACAAGCGATCTCTGGTCCAGCCGCACGTCAGAGCCGTATTTGAGCTTAACTATCCACTACATGAGCAACTGGGAGCTACATAGTATTTTGAACAAGTTAATGTTTTTTGAACAAGTTAATGTTTGCACAATACGTTTGCAATTGACATGTTTGCACTTTAAATATGTTTACGATTTTAATTAATGTTAAGTTACTTGAAAAACGAGAAAAACTGATTTTTGTAATTGTTTCTCTCAGGACTTTTATCATCTCTGGTGTGAGTTTAAAATATAAGTGTGTTAGCACTGTGTTGATTATCCCTAATATGAATAAATGTTTGTTTATTCAATGTTTCTCTTCTTTAATATGCAATTGAAGTTATGCTATTTATGGATTAAAAATCGTGATAAAATCGAAATTGTGATAAAATATTGGAAAAATCGTGATATTCTATTTTTGCCATATCGCCCAGCCCTAGATTACATCCTGCATGTAAACGGGTCAGCCGAGCTAAACCGGTAAGACGCTCGCGTTCTGGAAGTGACGAGACAGTGGAAGAGGTCTTCTGAGAAGACCATCGTCACAAAGCAACCAGCGCAACACCATAAAGCTGGACAGTACGTACCAAACGAGCTGTGCTGCAGCGTTGCTGTACATTCCTTAGACCAACACAAGCAGTAAACAGAGGCACCTGAAACAGGATATGCACACCGACTAAAACCAGAAGAATGCTGACATGAAAGGGGCATGTCGCCACCTACTGTACTGGGGTGGAACAAACTTTATTTGAGAGGCCAGTTTTCTAAGGCGTATGTAAACTAGGATAAAGACTCCCAGCTTTTTACAAGATTGACTTAGGTGTTGGTCAGCGTGCACATGACCACACAATGATTATGCCCCTAGCTAGAGAGAAAAGTTAGTAGACCGAGAGTAAGATGGAAATGTGGAGAACAAGGGACTTGGGAACTCATCTCCTTCTCCCCATGGATACAGAGGGAAGAATGCTCAGTCTGCTTGGTTTTCCTAAAGTCCACCCTCATTAGTTTTGGATGTGTTCAGGTCTTTGCTGTTGCATCACTGCCTCAGCTACTAAACGTCCTCTTGTAGGCTGATTAATTCATGTTGTCAGTCAACACATTGGCCAGTGGTGTTACTGGTATGAATGGGAGAGCAGTTGTGAGTGAAATGAGAGCAGAGAAGTGGACTGAGGACACGCCCTTGTGATATGCCAGTGTTCAGGATGAGGGTCTCTGAATAAAATCTACTGATACTTTTAAAACACAGTCCAGGTGTGCCATTGCCTGTTGATCAGTGGAGTGTTCTAGGGTCTCCATGAACATCATCTAACCCAAACTTAGCATTAGCCTGTGGTGGCACATTAGCCGTGGTTATAACGACCAATGGAAAATATCAGCTGCTACAAAGGTCCGCTTGACTGACTGACACTCTGTGTCAGTTCAGCAGCAAATGACAGTAATTGTGGTGTCCATGCCCTCTGCTTAGAGCTTTATAAGTGGGCCAATAAATGCATTTCTTTTCTAAAAAGAATAAGGTGTGTGTTTGTTCTGCAGCAGAGGCGTGTTGAGTGTGTGTTGTTCATTCTGCAGTGGTGCAGTGGAGGAGCAGGAAAAAAAAATCAGCAGGAGTCAGCAGTTTTTCTTCTCTCTGCAGAACAGCCAACTAGCTGCTGCTCTCAATGTTTATCAGCACTGACATCATGCTTTGGTTTCCATTGAAACAATACTCTTATGCTTTATTTAAGGCTTCATGGTTTACAAAACCCCCTACGTGTTTAACCTTTCACCTTCAGATACTCTTTCTGACTGCAGAGGCCCAATGCTCATCTTGTTAGGGCTTCCATTAATGTCTGCTGTGGTCTAGGAGGAGGAAGAAAACAGCAGGATCTAGTCTTAGTAATATTCACAACATTCGGACGTCTCTCCTCTGATTGGATAACAGCAACACGACCTCACCACTGACTGTTTGCTCTGGGCAGTTTACATTTTACTTGGGGCGACGGTGGCACAGGAGTTAAGTGCTCGCCTCGCAATCG